AAGCTCACTCCTCGGCGGGGGGGGGATCCGCTTTGCCAGTTTCCTCTCCTCCCACCAGCTTGCCGCCTCTGGCCCCTGAGGGCCACTGATCAGCCACCTCATGCTCAGTGACGCAGACTGGGCGGCGGGGGGGGGATCCGCTTTGCCAGTTTCCTCTCCTCCCACCAGCTTGCCGCCTCTGGCCCCTGAGGGCCACTGATCAGCCACCTCATGCTCAGTGACGCAGACTGGGAAGCAGGGGGGCAGGGGGTGCCACAGTCAGAGGGACCCCAAAGCCAGCCTCGTGCCATATCTGGCTGATGCATCTGAGTTATTTTCCTTCTTGTGCCGTTCTGCACGGCAGCCACTAAGGGGCGCAGGGCATGCAGAGCTCAGTCAGCCACACTCCTTGAGTCGGCCGGCTGGGCCCTTGAGCAAAGTTCACTAGGCCACTTGCAGCTCTTTCACACATACTGTGTGGCTCCCAGCAGGGCAGCTGAGGAAGCAAGAGGGAGGTCTGCCCCCCCAATCTTCCCTTCCCCGTCCACTTGCTCCCTGAGAGAGCCAGTTTGGTGCAGTGGTTAAGTGCGCGGACTCTAGTCTGGGAGAGCCGGGTTTGGTTCCCCACTCCCCCACTTGCACCTGGCTGGATGACCTTGAGCAAGCCACAGTTCTCTCAGAGGTGTTCTTGAAAAGGAGCAGTTTCTCTCAGAGCTCTCTCAGCCCCGCCTACCTCACAGGGTGTCCGTTGTGGGGAGGGGAAGGGAAAGGAGTTTGGAAGCCGCTCTGAGACTCCGAGTGAAGGGTGGGGTATGAATCCAATCTCCTCCTCCTCTTCTTCCTCCTCCCCCTTATTTTTCAGTCTCAGCTCACCCATCCTGGTTGGTAACTTAGATCATATTCAATAGTAGTCCAGGAGCACACCTTTGTTGATATGATAGAATCATGGAATCCTAGAGTGGGAAGGGGCCATGCAGAGACCACCTAGTCCAGCCCCTGCCCAGTGCAGGACCAGCCTAGAGCATCCCTGACAAATATTCCTCCAGCCTCTTCTTGAAAGCTGCCAGTGAAGGGGAGCACTCACCACCCCTCTAGGCAACTGATTCCACCTTTGAGCCACTCTGACCGTGAAAAAGTTTTGCCTAATATCCAGCCGGTACCTTTCTGCACGTCATTTAAACCCGTTGCTTCGGGTCCTCTCCTCTGCCGCCAACCGGAACAGCTCCTTGCCCTCCTCCAAATGGCAGCTTTTCAGATACTTAGAGAGAGCAATCATGTCCCCCCTCAATCTCCTCTTCTTCAAACGAAACATTCCCAAGGCCCTCAAGGCCTTTCCTCATAGGGCTCTGTCTCCAGACCCCCGATCCTCCTCCTCGTCGCTCTCTTCTGCACCCTCTCGATTTTGCCCACATCCTTTCTGAAGTGAGGCCTCCAGACCTGCACACAGGAGGACTCCAGGTGCGGCCTGACCAAGGCAGTCTATACAGAGGGGCTATGACCTCCTGCGATTTCGATGCCATGGCCCTTTTGATACAACAGCTGTGCGTGGGGGAGATCCGCATCGTGTCCCGCGTGCCTGTGCGCCTCTTGCTTGAGCAAGAGGGCCTCTTTTCCTGCTTCCTCCCCCCAAAAAAAACCACACACACGCACAGAGGGAGTGCCAGCCACAGTGCCCCCTGCTCAGATGGAAAGCACTCAGATCATTTCCAGGGGGCAAAGAATGGGGGGGGGTCTACTCACCTCTGTGAAGAAGGAGACAGAGAACAAGACCACGAGCGCGATCAGGACGTAAACCCTCCAGATCATGGGGGTGCAGAGAAGCTGGGAAGGAAGAGACCGTCCTCAGTCGTTGTGTCCATACTGTCTTTCCGCCAAGTTGCTGGGGGCGATGTCCACCACCACCACCTCTAGCCTCCCAACATCCACCTGCTGAGGCGGGTCTGCCTGAGAGGCAGAGTGTGTCTTTTGGTGGCAGAGTGGGGTATTGGAATCCAGCTCCTAGTCCAACCCTCTTCCCACGACACCTGGCCGCCAGCCCCCAAGAGCCCTGTCTGATCGGCCCTCCTTTACCGCCAGCCCCCTCCGCCAGCCCCGCACTAGCCCAAGGGAGACCCGCGTGTGATCTGGGGCTGGCTTCCAGCGTCACAGTGCTCAGGGGTGCAGCCTGGCTGGGGGGCCGCATTGAGGCCCTGCAGAGGGAGCAGAGGCCGAGACCTGCCCCCCCTCTCCCATGGCTCTCAGCCAGGGGCCTGGCAGGGTGGTGCTCCCAGCGAACGTGTTAACCCGCTTGAGGGCCAGGAGCTCTTTGCAGCCTGCCTCCCGCACTCACCTCCATCCCCGTGTATATCCTCTCGATGTCAGCAAAGTACAGGAAGAGGGAGACCCCGAGCTGCAGGCACAGCGCGATGCAGAAGGCGTCTGAGGGGCCAAAAGGGAAACGGCACCGTGTGACTCCCCAGGGAAGGGTTCCTCTGGGACTGGGCAAAACGAGGGCCAGGGGCTGGGAGTTGGGAGCACTGTTCCCTCTAAGCTGAGTGAGTGTGAGCTAGCTCACAGTTTTTTAGCCTCCGCCAGCTCACATGTTTTTGTCTTAGTGTAGGAAGGATGGGGCTCCAGAGCAAACTAATTGATGCAGCAGCTAAATCGCTCATAGCTCACAACCTTAAGGCCAGTTGCTCACAAAGCAGAATTTTTGCTCACGAGACTCCTCAGCTTAGAGGGAGCCTTGGTTGGCAGCGCCCGACAGCAGCGAGACGGGGGCCTTCAGGAAGCCCGCCAGAAGCCACAGCCCTCTTTGCCCCCATGGTAGACAGCCTCTGGCCATGGAGGTTCTATTTAGATACCACATGTGTGATACATTTCGAAGCTCCAGCTTAGCAAACGGCCACCCACACATCCTGCAGCTCCCTGTGTGAAGCTGGTATTGTGAGCAGGATGTTCGCCTTTGGCCTGTCCCCCATCCCCTGCCAGACAGAGTCATGGGGGGTGGGGGCTTGAGTTCTAGCGTGACGGAAGGGGGAGAAAAGGTGTTCTTTGCTGATTAGCCCGGGAAGGGGTCAGGAGCACATGAAGGCATTGCTGACCCCGGGCCCTGGGCCATCATGGTCAGTCCTGTCAGCTCAGACTGCCAGCGGCTCTCCAGGGTCTCAGGCAGAGAAAGGCCTTTCCCATCACCTCCTGCCTGGTCCTCTTAACTGGAGATGCTGCCGGGGATTGAACACCTGGGACCTTCTGCAGGCCAAGCAGAGGCCACTGAGCCACGGCCCCTCCCTAAAGGAAGCCTTGAGTCAGACCCTTGGTCCAGAGAGCCAGTTTGGTGTCGTGGTGAAGAGAATAGACTCTAATCTGGGAGAACCGGGTTGGATTCCCCACTCCTCCTCCACAGGCAGCTGCTGGTGTGACCTTGGGTCAGTCACAAGTTCTCTCGGAGCTGTTCTCTCAGGAGCAGTCCTCAGTCAGAGCTCTCTCAGCCCCACCTACCTCACACAGGGTGTTTGTCTGTTGTGGGGAGGGGGAGGGAAGGAGATTGTAATCTGCTCTGAGACTCTCTTGGTTAGGGAAGGGTGGGGTATAAATCCAGTCTCTTCTTCTCTTCTTCTATTGTCTACTCGGACTGGCAGCAGCTCCCCCGGGGTCTCAGGGAGGGATCTTCGGCATCACGCAGTGCCCAGGTACTTCCTCCTGGAGACACCGAGGACTGGATCTTGGGCCTTCTGCACAGCAGACGCGACCACTGACTCAGCCACAGGCCCACCCCTGGTGCCTAATGCACGGAGGATAATTGGCCATGGGGGCTGGCAAAGACTTTGGTAGCCCAGAGAGGGGGGGCACCCGCGGGGGGGGGGGGGGCCTCGGTGGGTAACCTCTGCACATGTGCCTGGTCAAGTCAACTCACACAACCCTCTGAAGAATTAGTTGGATTCTGAGCATGCAGCCCCCCCACCCCAGCCCCCAAACGGCCTCATCAACCCCTCTTGCCACTGGCCACCTCGCCGGGGCTGACTCCGCTGCTCCCTGCCGGCCCCGTCAAGCCAGTGTGATCTGCCTTCCCAAGAGCATGGGGGGGGGTCCCTGGTTTGAATCTCAGTGGGTCCCAAGCAAGCCCCTGTCCGTCAGCCTCAGCCGCTGGCCATGACACGGGGAGCGGAGGGGAAGGGAGGCCTACCTCACAGGGCTGGAATAACCCATGTGAATCCTTTCGAGCCCCTTGGGAAGAATGCCCCCTGTTGGCACTCTGTGCTTGCATCTCCCCCCCCTCGGAATGTGTGAACACAGCCGGCCGGGTCCTGGCACCAGTGTTCCCTCTAAGCTGAGTTAGTGTGAGCCAGCTCACAGTTTTTTAGCCTCCGGCTCACACATTCTCGCCTTAGCTCAGGAAGGCTGGCTCTGGAGCAAACTAACTTATGCAGTAGCCAAATCGCTCGCTCAGGGTTTTAATGCCAGTAGCTCACAAAATAGAATTTCTGCTCACAAGACTCCACAGCTTAGAGGGAGCATTGCCTGGCCCCACGGGGTGCGCAGCTTGCGGGGCCGGGGCCGAGGCTGAGGGGGGCCCCGTGCCAGAAGGGATGAAGAAGAAGCGGTGCTCACAGTTGGTGTAGATGGGCTTCCGGAAGGGCTTCCCCTTGGAAAAGACGAAGGCCACGATGAGGCAGTTGACGGTGGTCAGGGGCCAGAGAGTGGCATCCTCGTAGCTCAGCACCCGGTGGTGCGGCTCCGTGGAGTTGGCCGTCCCGTTGCCGAGGCCTGAGGTCCACGTCTGATTGGCTGAAGGGCACCCTCTGGAGGAGGAGGAGGAAGAAGAAGATGCTGATGCTGATATTGGATTTATACCAGCGTTCCCTCTAAGCTGAGTTAGTGTGAGCTAGCTCACAGTTTTTTAGCCTCCAGCTCACGCATTTTTGTTTTAGCTCAGGAAGGATGGGGCTCCAGAGCAAACTAATTGATCGAGCAGCCAAATCGCTCGCTCACAACCTTAATGCCAGTAGCTCACAAAGTAGAATTTTTGCTCACAAGACTCCACAGCTTACAGGGAGCATGGATTTATACCCCACCCTTCACTCAGAGTCTCAGAGCGGCTTACTAACTCCTTTCCCTTCCCCTCCCCACAACACCCAGTGAGGTAGGCAGGGCTGAGAGAGCTCTGACAGGAACTGCTCTTTTTCAAGGACAGCTCTTGTCACAACTATGGCTTGCCCAGGGTCATCCAGCAGCTGCAAGTGGAGGAGTGGGAAATCAAACCCGGGAATCAAAGCCTCCCCCCCCGCCCACCCCATGCAGGTGAAGTGGCTACCTGTGACTGCGAATCACGGCGTACCAGGGCTGCTGCTTCACCAGCAGGAAGCCGCAGACCTGCACAATGATAGTGAAGACCACGTTGAGAACCACGGAGAGCAGCAGCGGCGGAGAGAGGAGCTGGCCGGGGGGGCGGTAGGGGGCCAGCTTGGGGTGGGCGTGGGTCAGACTCACTGTGGGGAGAAAAGGGGGGTCAAGGGTGCACACGGGCAGAGCTCCCTCCCCTCTCCCCACGCCACAGTCTTCTAGGGCAGGCCCCGCTCAGCAGTCTCGAGTGGCAGCCAAGCAGGCTTGGTTTGCACTGAGCTGGTGAGCAATGTCGACCTCCCCCCTTCCATAATGCCACAGCCCAATTCACATCCCCTCCCTACCCCCTGAGGGCTGCTTTTCTATGGCCAACTGACACGCCTGTCAGAACCCACAGCCAACAATGAAGTACACGCATTCAGGAACGGTAATACTTTTATTGCAGAGCTATAGATGCAGTAACATAGGCACTGTTAGGAATGGCAGCTGCCCCGTGGGCATAATAGGGTATTCGTATGCACCCCCCCCCAGAGCACTGGCCAATTAGGCACCCTCCCACACGCAGGATATAGCCTGGAGACCGTTAGGTAGCTGAAGCGGAGAACCAACACTCTCCCACGGCACCTAGGAGAAACCCAGACAATACAAGAAGAAGAAGAGAAGAGATTGGATTTATACCCCACCCTTCACTACCCAAAGGTGTCTCAGAGCGGCTTACAAACTCCTTTCCCTTCCCCTCCCCACAACAGACACCCTGTGAGGTGGGTGGGGCTGAGAGAGCTCTGACAGAAACTGCTCTTTTTTAAGGACAGCTGTGCCAGAGCTTGCGACTGACCCAAGGTCACATCAGCAGGTGCAAGTGGAGGAGTGGGGAATCAAACCCGGTTCTCCCAGATTAGAGTCCGCACACTTAACCACTACACCAAACCCCCTGCCCCAGACACAGACAACTCCCTCCTGCACATCTGTATAGATAAGCATTTCGGCGCAAAGCAGAACAAGCACAGAAAGGAATGCAGTTGCAATGAACCAGACACAGACCGAGCTCCCCAACCCCCATTCCAGCCACAGGGCAGCTCTTCGGGGCCAAGAGACAACTCCGCCCGGACGGGTCAGTGGGGAAACTGGCCCGCTTACTTGTGAGGCAGGTGATGATGGTGATGCCGATGTCCTGAACGAGGTACTGGTAATTCCCCTGGATCTGGAGTTGCTGATAGGGAAAAAAAACAGTTCAGCCGAGGCTTTTGTTGCACTGGGGCAGCCTCTAGTGTCCCCCCAGGGTACTTGGGGGTCTGGAAAAGACACCCACAAAATACTGCCAGAGGGGCCCCTGCCCCAGACACAGACAACCTCAATGCCTGGTGGCTGTCATGATTCCCAAGCCATTGGCACTGAGACAGTTCTCAGGAGGCTGGGCCTAATGTTGCCAACTTACTGGTGGAGCATTTATGGAGACCTCCTGGTATTACCTCTAGTCTCCAGACTACAGCGTTCACTTTCCCTGTAGGAAATGGCTGCTCTGGAGGCCCCTCCCCTCCTCAAATCCCACCCTCCACAGGCTCTACCCCCAAATCTCCAGGAATTTTGCCACCCAGAGTTGGCGACCGTAGCCAGGCCCCACAGTCTGTCTCAGGCAGTGGGATTTCTGGCCCCTCCCGTTTAAAGTAGAGCTCCCCCCCCCCCCCCCCAGTTCCAGTGGCAATAAATGGCAGACGGCAGGTTAACGGCAGAAGCCCCGCTGACGGCTGGTCTCGGTGCCATCTTGCCCCGCGTGACATCTGCTCTTCCACTCGCGGCATTTCCAGAAAGCTTTCGCACTGCAGGCTCCCTCCTTCTAGAGACCAGCGCCCTGGGGAGATCCCTTTTCAATGGCAGGATCGGGCTTCTGTGCCGAAGGAAGGGCTTCCGGATGGGAAGGGCAGTTTCCGCAGTGGGAAATAAACTGCCCTGGGAGATTATCGGGTGGGGGGGGTGTCAAGAAATGACTGGGCAGGGATGCTTTGAATGGGCAAATCATGTCTTGAGACTTACGGACTTAAAGATGTAAGAAAAGCCCAACTGGGTCAGACCAGTGAGAGTTCCTCTAGTCCAGCATCCTGTCTCACATACAGGGGCCAGCCAGTTCCTCTGGAGGGCCAACAACAGGGCAGAGAGGCTGAGGCCTTCATAAGGATATCAGAAGAACCCTCCTGGATCAGACCAGTGGTCCACCTAGTCCAGCATCCTGTCTCACATACAGGGGCCAGCCAGTTCCTCTGGAGGGCCAACAGTAGGGCATAGAGGCTGAGGGCTTCATAAGAACATCAGAAGAGCCCTGCTGGATCAGACCAGTGAGGGTCCATCCAGTCCAGCATCCTGCCTCACACACAGGGGCAAGCCAGTGTCTCTGGAGGTCCAGCAGCAGGGCATAGAGGCCGAGGCCTCCCCTGTAGATGCCTCCTGGCTCTGGGCTTCAGAGGCTTCGTGCCTCTCGTCCCCATGGTTGGTAACCACTGAAAGAGCTGCTCTCCATGGACCTGTTTAATCCCCTTTTAAAGCTGCCCATGCCCGTGGCCATCACTACATCCTCTGGCAGTGAATTCCACATTTTAATTCCTTGTTGCATCGAGAAGTGTTTCCTGTAGGCTGGATCGCCTGCTCCCTCTCAACTCTTTGGCAGGAAAACCAGCCTCTCCTTCGGAAAGTCCAGAACTGTTTCTGGGCTGGGCTGGGTGGGGTGTGCATCCTCCGCCCTTGGCGGTGGCTGTTTGTGGGTTACGGGAGTCTTCGCAGCACTTCAGTCCACCCCCCACCCCCGACCTGTTTTTTTCGCCCCCGACCTGTTTGGCAGAGGCAAGGGAGCAACCCCACAGGAAGCCACCCACACACACCCGTGCCACCTTCCAGTCGCTCGGACCAAAGCGACTGCTTCCCTCCAGCCCAAGATTAGGGTGTTAGCTGGGAGCTGCGCTCAGCTCTCCGGAGAAGTCGAGGCACTTACCCAGAAAAGCAGAGATGACCCCACGAACCCGATCATGCAGTAAAGGATCAGATATTTAAACACCGCAATGGAGGAGACGAGGGAGGCCCGGCCTTCGCTAGGGGGAGAAACGGACAGGCTCTTGAAGGGTTGCGCCGGCCACCTGCTCAAAGCCCCTCGGAGGCAGGAGAACCGTTCAGGCACCCAGAGAAAAAGATCCAGCCCTCTGGGGGTGTCTGCAGCCCTTCCGCACTCCCCGGAGAAGAAGGGCCAATTGCTTGTGCCACGGTAAGTGCCCAGGAGCCAGTCTGGTCCTTCTGGGACTTGGCAACGTGGCCCCGGGCAGCACTTTTGGGGGGGGGGGGGAGCAGGCTGTGGCTGGCTTTCCTCCCTGCCTCCGGCAGCTTGAGGGATTTTGTTCCTCCCCTTCCCCAGTTCAGCGGCAACAACCTTGTGCGGTTAGAGGGACTGGCCCAAGGCCACCCATGGCCAAGGGCTTGAAATGGATGTCGCAGGGGGAGTCCCCTGAACAGGGCTTTCTCTCTAAAATCAGGCATGTGGGGGCCTCGCTCTGACTGGGACTGCTACGTTCACACACACACAGTTTCCCAAAGTGAACCTGGCCCTGCACAGCTGCAGGTTGCCTCCTTGAGAGAAACCTGCAGGCAACGATACTCTGCGGTTACTCTAACAGGGCCATGGTCTGAGCATGGGAAAAGGTCCCAGGGCTGCTGCACCCTCCCCTCAGCCCCGGCATGGCGGTCCCAAGGAGAGCCAGGACAGTGTGGCGGTCAGAGTGTCAGGCCAGGGTCTGGGGCACGCAGGTTCCAATCACTGGGTGACCTGGGGCCAGTCACACGCCCTCAGCCTAGCCTCCCTCACAGGGGTGTTGTGAGGTTACAAGGGAGAAGAGAACGACGGAAGCCGCTGTGGTCCCCCACTGTGGAGAAAGGTGGGATATCTCTCCTTATATATGATTGTGTTTTGGGGGTGGCACTTTCCAGAACATTCCACACGCTCCCAAATCAGTTGGCTCAATGACCTGTCACTCAGAACGTGTCCCTATTCACTGGCTGCGTTGCCCGAGTCCCACCCACAGAAGCTGCACCCGCAAAAATTTACCTCATTATGCCCAGCTCCCTCAGAACATGGACCCTCCAGCCCTGCCAAGACTCCAGCCCTGATGGTTCGCTTTGGCGCTGCGCCTGGCTCAGCCTCAGCCTGCGCTGAAGCCGGTGCTTACGGGCAGTGCATGCCACTGCCTGCCCCTGTCTGCCACCCACTGCTCCTTTGGGAAGGGCAGCTGCGCTAGACCTGCACCGCTCCAGACCCGCCGACGCTCCAGGTTGCTGCCGCCAAGAGGCCTACCGGGGACAAG